AGTTGATTCAACTGGTTGATAAAACTGGAAAGGCACATTGTCAATTCATTTAGTTAAAAACTAATATTTTCATATATTCGTGTACATTTAAATCATAATTTTCTCCCTATTATAGTGACTTTTTGGTAAAATACTCTCCATCATTAATTTAGCTTAGACGTAGTGTTTTCTCTTGCAATTGGATATTCTTTCTATTTAGCAGCTAAAAAAGCTACACGAATTGCACGCAGTAGTACAGAATGCTCAGATTGAGCTGTGCTATACTCGAAGCAATGCCGGAACTACATGTGTGCTTTGTGCTTAGTAATTTCTTTCCAGCCTTGCCTCTAATACTAAACTAATTTGTAGGAGAAGTAAATACTCAGCAGCATGTTTGGCGAAACATTAGAGTGTCACCAAACTATCATGACATCATAAACTGCGATGAACTTGAGACAATCATAAAATCTTTTGTTTAATTAACCAAAAATAATTAACCGCCGATTAAAGATAAATGGTCCGCAATGTCGATTTCAACAATATCAGCAAATGACTCAAATTAAAAGTAGGCAACGAAGATTACTAATTTGTTTTTGCTTATATGAAAACGGTTTTTAGAAGACTGCCACAGAATGATCTATTAGAAGGTGTTTTATGGTGAGGTAAGGTAAGCGTTTATTAATTCCTCTAAACGACAACGCATACAAAATACACAACTCCACTATGGAATAATCAAAATAGAAAACTTAGTAAACAATGCTAGTTTTTATTTAGCAAAAAAAAATCTTTTTTTCCCAGTTGATACTTATATATATTTGTATTATATATATATGTAGGTTGGTTCTTGCTGTTCAACGTGTAATCTTGAAAACGGAGATTGCACAGTTCCAAAAGCACCTAATATTTATGCGTTTTTCTGTGAATTACACAATAGATGTAGACACAAGGAAAAATCAATATTTTGAATTTTTTAAAATATTATCTACAAGAGTCTGAGCTGCTTATGCCGGTCATTGATCTTATGATTTTTTTTGTGCATTAAATATTTTTCGAAAATCTCTTGAACTTTCCCAAAACACTACCTCGCAAGATATATATAGAGACTCTGTCTCTCATATTTCTTAGTAGAAAACAATGTGAGGTTGATGTTCCTGCCAGATAGTTAACATGAGAGCACAAATGTTTTTTGAGGATTTTTAATCAGTTTTTCATAGAACACTGGAATTCATTCTTCAATTTTGGGCGGAAAATTTCCAGGGACCGCCGAATCAGACACAGGAGAGAATGCTGAAGCCGGAGGTCGTCCTAGATTCGACTACGCCACGGCGAGGTAGGTGGTTACCTATAGTAGGCTGAGGTGTGCTATTGACAGCTTTGGCTCGTTGAAGTTAGCTGGCGGGGATGGAGTATTTCCGGCTCTGTTGCAAAGGAACGGAGGTCTCCTGACCATCCCGCTGATGGATCTGTTCAGACCCTCCATTGTGAGGGGATACGTGCCAGAGCTGTGGAGACACAGCAGGGTAGTGTTCATCCCCAAGGTGGGAAAGGACCCGGACCCGAAGTCATACCGGCCCGTTTGCCTCACCAGCTTCGTTATGAAAACACTGGAGAGACTTGTGGACCGGTATCTGAGAAACTGGGCGGAGCTGGAAGCCCCATTAGAGTCAACCTAGCATGCGTACCGAACTGGCGGGTTTTATGGGCTCGGCTCTTCACCATCTGACTTCCAGGTTGGAGGAAGATATGGGCTCGGGACGGCTGTCCGTGTGCGTTTTCATGGCCATGGAAAGGGCTTTCAATACTACGGCCCTGTGCTCAATCTGCGGGGCGGTGGAGCGTACTGGAGTGGGAATGGTCATTGTGACAAATGGACCTTTTTCTTCCCATCAAAGGAGGAGTGGAGAGGGCAGAGTTGGCCGGAGCTGGAGCGTACTGCGAGACAACGGGATCGAGCTTGTCAGTCCCTCTGGGTGAATACTGCACCATGTTTTAAGCGGAAATTTTCGCTATATTGATGGTGGTCATACATTACACTGCCATTAACCACTTTATTTAATAAATGTATTGACACAGGTGTATTTCCGTCGCTGTTTAAGGTTTCGAGAGTAGTTCCAATCCATAAGGCAGGTGATATAAATGATGCTAACAACTACAGGCCGATTTCAATCGTGCCTTTGTTCGGAAAAGTTTTTGAGATCTTACTAAAAGATCAGCTAACTTCTTATATTAATAAGATCGAATGTCTTTGTGCTGGTCAGTTTGGATTTAGGGGAGGGTGTTCGACGATCCAAGCAGTGTCTAAAGTTGTGAGTGGGATAGTTGAGGGCCTCGAGGGTGGTGAATTAGTTGGTTTCACCTTGAGTGATCTCTCCAGGGCCTTCGACTGTGTTTCTCACCAGCTTCTTATTAAAAAGCTATACAGATATGGTATACGAGGTCTGCCCTTAGATCTTATAGCGTCCTACTTGCAGGGCCGACAGCAGTTTGTAGAATACCAGGATGACCGTTCATCACTTGAATCAGTAGTAAGCGGGGTGCCCCAGGGTTCCGTCCTGGGCCCGCTACTATTTACAATCTACATAAATGACCTTTATCATTTCTTGGCCCCCAATCAGTGCGTGATGTTTGCCGACGATACATCCTTCACTACATCTGCTAAGAGTATCGAGGAGTTGTCCGTTAGGGTTGGCATGTTGCAGGACAGGGCTAATGTCTGGTTCGAAAATAATTATCTTAAATTAAATTTAGACAAGACCCAGAGTATTGTGTTTTCCTATAATTGCTTGGTAAATAGTGGACAGTCCGTCAAGTTGCTTGGCATTAGGATCGATGATAGTCTAAATTGGAAACAACATATCTCAGACCTGAAAAATAGATTGTCCAGCAACATATTCGTTCTTCGACGACTGAGAGGTCTGATAGGAACAAGGACTCTGCTTATGGTCTATTTTTCTTTGTTGCATTCAAACTTATGCTATGGCACGGTACTGTGGGGTGATTCCTCAGCTGCTGTGGAGATTTTTAGAATGCAGAAAAGGGCCATTCGAGTCGTTGCTAATATAGGATATAGGGACCATTGTCAACCTTATTTTAAAAAATTCAAAGTGATGCCCCTTCCTTGCATCTATATCTACTACCAGTTATTAGAGATACAGAGAACGAAAGGAAACTTTAGCGCTAATTCCGATTGCCATGCCTATTCAACTCGTTCGGGGGATCTCCTTAGACGGCCTAGGTTTAGACTGAGGAAGTCTGAGAACAACTCATTGAACTTGAAATTGTATAATGTTTTGCCAGGTACCGTGAAAAAGATGAGCAATAGAAAATTTAAACATACTATTAAAGAATTCCTGCAACGTCATTGTTTTTACTCCCTGCGAGCATACATTGACACTGTCACTGGTATCGATGCGCTATAAAACTGTATAGTACTGTCTAATTTTGTTTGTATTAGATGTGTGTCTTTATGTTATTTATTAATTTGATTTTATTGCACTTGAATATCACTTCTGACTTGCTACAATTGTACGTCCCTTCTGTACGAAACTTAGTCAATAAATGAATCTATATATATATATATATATATATATATATATATATATATATATATATATATATATATATATATATATATATATTATTGCAAAACAAACAACTTGGTGCTTGCCGGTCCCTACGGACTAGACGACAAAATCCCGCACGTATCAAATAAAAACGTTTCCCGTTTATGTAAATTAAAAATAGTTTAGCGAAAACGGGCCCGGAGATGTCGATAATCCCCTTTGTATGGTGGTCCGAAGAGCGAATTCAAATTCCTATTCAGCAGACGTTTCAATCGGATACGTTTGAAGCTGCACTTGAATTTATTTCACTGACAAAAAGGGACCTATATCTCCGGGATTCGAGGGTCAATTTCGTGTCGCGTTAGTAAACAAAACTATTCCTAAAAGGCGCTTTCTCTGCCGACCGTAAATACAAACGATTTTTTTTTGACCGGGTAATAAAGCGTCAATTGCAAGCGTTCATGCGGTTTTATCCCAAAAGCGAATATTACAAATGGAAATGCAACGATTTACTTTACTGTTTACTTCTTTTTCCTTTGACCGCGTCTGGTTTCCTCATCAATATATTTTGCAACACTCGAGGGGCGGGTTTATAGTCATTGTTTGTTACTGTCGATTATTTGCGCGCTCTTCACTGTACTCGAGATCCTAGGTTGGTCCCAGGGGACCGCCATTGGTGTAGAACGAATCAGCGTAAAAAAATGTTTTTGTCTGTTGTTCCATTCTCCGTTAATGAATATTTACGACGATAAAACCCAAACCGCTAACCTAGACGGTTCAAATTTTATTCCTTTTCAACTTTGCAGGATTTGCGTGAAATATTACTTTCTTTTTCCGATTTTTGGTTGTTTTTTGCTATGAAACAAAGCGTCCCAAATCTGGTTCCCTCACGCAACCAATTCAAATTGGTGGGGTGAGGAAGTGTTTTTTTCTTGAAATCCTATCATAAAAAATTCTTGAACAAAAACATTCCCGAGATCCAATGCTACCAACCAGAACTTTATTCCCGATGATTTTCCAAAATATACGGGTACCGCCCGTTATTCGCAAAAAAACTGAAAGTTCATCATCTAAAATTATTGTTTGAAGGTTTTCTAATAAAATACAGGGTGTTCGCAATATTACGTGCTATATTAAGAAACATAAGAAGTGTCTAAAATTTGCACCTTCAGACTTCAGACACTGTCGAAGTTGAAAAAATCGATTTATTTTTTAAAAACTTTTGATAATTTGGACACTCTGAAGGGCCACACTATTAATCGTACATAAAAATAAATGTACTAAGTGGGCGCGAAAAAATCTAGTGGAAAATCGGTATTGAAAAAAGTCATGGACACTTTGGGTATTTTATCCACTATATACAGGGCCTAAAGGACCGTGAAAATTGCCTCAGAAAATGACGAACCATTGCCCTTTATTGATTCTTCGGACCGTCGGCGTTCTTCTTATAGTACTTACTTAAGCCCGGCGATGATTTCCATCGCTCCATTGAAATTTCCAATGTTCCACGAAGACAAAGCGACCCGCAAAACGCAGGACAATACCGCCCGTCTGGCATCGTGGGTCGGTTGGGATATTATCAGCTGCGTAACCCAAGCGCTAACCTGCGAACAAAAAAAAAAGCAATCGCTATGAAAGACAATTTGGGAAACGAAATATATTGCGACGAATGTCAGAATTACTATTATAAATTGAACAGTAGAAGTAACAAAGGAGTTAAGTGCCAAAATTTATTAAAAGGAGATGTTGAAAAAAAACTTATTCTTACAAAAATAAAAATAATTTTATTTTGAAAAAATAAGCTAACATATTATTTGCCTTATAGGTAAATAAGCTGCGACACAAAAAATATGGAAAAAATATTTTTAAACAAAATTTTAAAAAAAATTAGAAACGGGCTAAATGCCAACACATTATTTGGTCAAATTAGAATAAATTTCTTGGTGCTTAGGGTCTTTTAGATAAGGAATTATTGATATTAGTTGCCTTTTCTTGCTATCACCGATCTTATTCGTGTCTGGTAGCAGCCTAACTGAGATAATTCGAATATCTTCTATTTCAGAAAAAGATTCAGCAGTAAACGAAAAGCCAGGTCTTCGGGAGTCAACTTTCATTCGAACTTTGCTAATATTCACTTGTTTGAGATTTAGTACCTTGTTAGCTGCCGCTTGCAGATCAAAAAAATTTTTTTGTGTAATATCTACTATCTCAAATCGGCCTATGTGTATACTTGACGTATTACATTGTGTAAGTCCTCAGGTACCATCGAAACTCACTTGCGCTTCATTTTCTCGATTAACGCGAAATCCCTGTCGCACTGAAGGAAGCTATGACCACTGACAAGGTTCAATAGTGTCAAAGAGTCCACAACTCACTAAAAACCCATAAATAAAAACAATCATTCTGTTTTTATTTTAAGCAATAAAGTTATAGCCTAATAACCAAGACCCAATTTCGTCACCGCAACGTCCTGCCACTCCTTCATGCCAACAGCACATGTATGAATGTCTTTTATCCCCAAAGTTGATTCCTAAGTTGTAGCTTGAAAGTTGGTTCATGTAGAACATGTCAGAGTGGCACTTGCGACGATGCGATATCGCTTTTCACGAGCATACACGCTGCTTCTGCCTTTCTATGGTGCACCTCCAGCTTCAACTTTGCTGCCCGACTTCTTTCCCCTGCGCTTTTATTTCGCAATTTAACGAGTTACATTAACGACAGGTGTTACTTCGAGGTCCTCTAAATGAAACATTTCGAAAGTCTTCTTTCAACACTTTTTTGTAATGTAGGTTACCAAACTGAACTTAAATATTCTTTTGCACTCTTTGCTAGTGGATAATGAGATTTTTCTCGCAGTATACTATTTATATGCTCTCTAACAAGTTGCCTATTACTCTCCAGGAGCTGTATGAGTTCTCATGTTCTTATAAACTAAATTGATGGTGACTATCACGAGGGTCTTCGTATGAGCCATGCCTTCTTCTTTTTATGTCAGTTAAGTTCAGGTCTGCACTCAAAAAGGGTCAATCTATGTTCGTCGTTAACGACTTGCAGTTAAATTTACATTTACATGTTATGTGCAAGAAAGACGAATATTTTTTAGGACTTACGGAAATATATACATATACAGTAAAACGATCTGTCTACGAGATCGTCGTAGGGTAGTTCACAATATCAAAAAAAAGATTTGGTGAGTATCGAATCCACTATACTAACAACTGCCCTACGCTTGTTAATTGAAACCTACAGCGCATAAGATAAAAATTGGGACCGTCCTAGGGTTATGTAGACGCTTCCATATTAGAAATGAAAACAATGACTTTAGTTTAGGACTCTTTTTCTCAGCTAGAGTGTTTCCATTTCCGTTTTTATAGGATTTTATTTTTTTTATTTTATTTTATTTGACAGCGTCGTTACAGAAAACGATTAAAAAACAATATAAACGCACAACACGTATTACGGCACTTGACCCCTTACAGAAAGCGCCACCTATCTACGTAATTTTTCCCAGAAATGATAATTCTGACACTTTGCCCGCTTGATGGGTCATAGTGCATGGCATGGCATAAAAAAATCTAATTTAAAAAAAATGTCACTTGCCCCTTTTTTACTTCTACTCCTCAAATATAAATTGCGAGTTTCATAACATCGAGGAAAAAGAATGGATAAATCTCTACATAAAACTATGAAGAAGAAATACGCAGTATAAAGACGGATTGGATGATTTAGATATGTAGGAATTAATCGACGCTTCGAAGACTACAAAAAAACAGAAAGGCAATAGGATTGAGAAATATTAATGTAGAACTATGCAAATACGGAGCAACACAATTGCACCTACTAACATTACACCCCTTTAATATGTGCTGGAAAAAACAGGTTGAAAAGATTGGGAGAAATCCAAAGTGTTGTCATAACGATTCCATAAGAGAAGATCGACAACAATTAGAATGGTCACATTACGGCAATATTAGAGATGCACAGAAAATTCGACAGAGAAACACAAATTTGATTTATAGACATCGAAAATGCCTAAAAATACTCGAATAACACTAGAAGTAAACGAAAAACTGACAGAAGAGATGCGATCTATCGCATGATCACAGTATAGATACAGAGAATAAATTAAGCACCAAAAAACGGAAACGGGAAGAGACACAAAGACAACAAAACAATAAAAAAGTGACATTCAGGCACAAGAAATTAAGTTTCTGTCAAGAATCAAAGGACGTATATATTGGACGTATTATATTGGGACGCTACCTTATCTCAGAAACTATAAGGGATGGAGTAAAAAGTTAAATAAAAAAGTTAATTGGGGTATTACAAACCTTTAATTTATTTTCAACTTCCTTATTTTAAATGGAACACCTGGTATACTAATTCATTTTTGAATTTTATACAAAATTCTAGACATATTTTGTGTATGTCCTATACCTAACCGTTTTTGACATTTTTAATTTAAAGGACGTTTTGGAAGAATTAAAATTTCTGCCAATTTTTTCATTCAGAACCACTTATTGTTTCACTTGAGTAAGTTTTATTGTTGACGAAGGACTGAAATAACGGATAACAAATTTCGAGACATATTAATACCGGGTACGCGAAAAATAAGATTAAAAATGAAATTAAAACACCTGCCAAGAAACTTTTTCTTTTTAATGGAAACTACTCATTTTTATAATCTTGTTACGTTTAGCATTGAAAACATTCAATTTTATATAAGGTTGTGTATGTCCAATATTTTTACTTTTTTAAATATTCCCTTTTAAACATTTGTTTATCACAAATAATATGCTGTTGTCGTTCCCTTTTAGGCACTTCTTTATGAACAAAGAGATAGATAATATTTAAAAGCTCTAGGTAGCGTTGGGAATTTACATTCTGATCAAAAAATAATGGACCTATTATTCTGATCCTCCAAATGGCGGACCATGCCCTGACAGAAGTTCCACCTGAACTTGTAACTTCCATATGTTTTTTATTATTCTTGCTTCTCCAGTAATCCGTATTTTTCCGATTACATTTTTTTGTTGAGGTTGTAAATATGGACTCATCTGTCCAAATGATATTAGCAATTACATTTTCGGAAAAGTGTCTCTCCATAAGATTGTTTGCAAAAATCTAACCTGATTTTGCACTAATTGCTGCACTGGACAAAATTTAAAGGACTTCCAGTGGTTTATTTAAAGGCACGTTTGAAGCGTTGTTCTTTTGACATCGAAATCTAAAGACGCATTTCGGATTAAATCTTGAGGGGTCTCTGCAAAATACAACAAAATATTAAGTTGCTCTTCATTACTCAAAATATGACGTCTATTTTTTTTTCCTCCAAATTCCATATATTCTAAAGTGTTGGTTATGGAAATTTTCTAATATAATCTCTAAGAGCCAAGGTCCGGTTTTGAATTGTATATGTAACTTTCTAACATATCAATCTTTTCCTCTGTGGTAGCACTTGTTTTCTTTAAACGTCGTTATAGCCACCATACACTAATTGAACTTACATGGCAACAGCATATTATATCTGACAAATGTTGAAAAGGAAATATTTCAAAAGTAAAAATATTAGGCATATACAATTTTATATAAAATTGCCTTCATTTTTGATGATAAATATGACAAGATTATAAAAATAGGTAGTTTCCATTTTAAAAAGTTTTTTGCCAATTTTTTAAATTTCATTTTTAATCTTATTTTTCGCATACCCTATATTAATATGTATCGAAATTTATTATGAAATCCATTATTCGAGTCCTTTGTCTACAACAAAACTTACTCAAGTGAAAAAGGAAGAAATTGGCAGATATTTTAAGTTTTCTAGACGTCATTTCTCGCATAAAAAATTAAAAATGTCAGAAACGGTTGGACTTAGGTATAGGACATTATGCACAAAATATGTATAGAATTTTGTATAGAATTCAAAAATGAAATAATATACAAGAAAAATGAAAAACATTAAAATAAATTGCAGGTTTGCAATACCCCAAGTAACTTGATCTAACTTTTGGCTCTATTCCTTAGTACTGTCCCAAGATAAACGACCCACCCTATATAAGGAGTGAAATTAACGGCAAAATAAAAGAGTATAGGAAATGGTGGATGGAACACCTAAACATGATTGACGATAATCGATTACCAAAACAAGCCATTAATTACAAATGTAAAGGAAGAAGAAGACTACTCAAAAAATCGTGCATCGTGCATAATACTTGAAGCGAAGGAAAACAACAAGAAATTATAAATTGCTCCAGAGAATTGCATTAAAATATCTGTGGAAATAATTAGCTTGGTTAGTTTAGAAATTCGTTTTCCTTTTATTGCAATAGAATTAGGACCTCATATACTTGCTCGCGGACTCTTTTCCTAACAGAGTCACTACTGCTGTATTTCTTAAGTTGGTTTAAGCAATTCGTATATTTAGGCACGAATATATGTTTTTCCGGATTGTGTTGGGAGGAGAACGTTTTATTACATGAAAACGCACAATAATAAATTTTTATCTAATAAATAGTCGTTGTATACTTCGACAAAATGGATTTTTCAATTCTTATGAAACAGTCGTTCGAATGGCCGAGTCTATACACATTAGCATTGTATATGG